ACAGATCCTGATGTAACTATTACAGATAAACTCAAGAAAGTCAAGTTTCAAGATAAGCTTTTATTACCTTCGTGACTTTAGAGCGGGTCATCTACAGAAAATGTCGTGAAACTCATAAATTAAGAGGTGATGCAAACTTCACCATATAAATAATCCTTATTGCACATTAACATAAAACATGCTTCAGAATTCAGATGCAGGACAAAAAGGTCAATTGTCGTAATAAAAATTCGTTAAAATTCAGTTCCGAACTACTGTCGATCTCACTAAGGTCATTCTAGTCTCGTACTAATGCATTAAAATATTACTACATCACACATTAACGGCCTATAATAGTCCACTGCTGGACATAGGCCTCTCCTTAGAAAGGAGGTTTTGGCCTACTATACCACGCTGGCCTGACGGGTTGGTATAGGGTTTGTTTCAAGTTTTCCCTCTCTTTGCAGTGATGTTGTCCTGCGTAGTCTGCTCCCTTAGTCGGCTCTTACGACACCCACGGGATGAATAGGGGTGATGACATTCCGTATTCTTAATCCGTTACTACACGGATAGAATATTACTAAGATTAGTAGAATACCGATTCAACTTTCAGTCACAATACGATATACTCTCATATTGTTAACGTTGGATTCTAAATACTTTACTACGAGAATATCTTTAATGACATTTGTGAGATTGAGAATAGATCAGAACTAAGTTTTGAACAAATTTTTATTGAGACAAATGACATTCAGATCGTACAAGTTCTATGTCTTTAATAGTAACGTTTTAAATGTAATTAAAGTAATGGTTTAAAGTTAGAGCAATAATGTATCTTAATGCTTGCCATTGTAGCACAAATCCGGCTAATGCTAAAAAGGTTTTAGAAGGTTTAATGTTATTTTATCACTTGCGTTTCTTAAATGTAAAATTTTATTAACTAGTACTTAATTGATGAAATATATTTCGCAATAGATTTTTAATAGCTGTGAATGTCAAGTTCATGCACGTCTCAGCGATTACGACTGTATTTTATTGCTTATTTCACGGATTATATTGTTTGTTTGACTAATGTTAACGCATAAAATTATACACGTGTGTCGGGATTGTTTTCTTCACAATAAAATTGTTCTTAAAACGAATAAATTTGTGATTTGATTTGACGGGCCTGTTGGTCTAGCGGTTAGTGACCCTGACTGCTAAGCCAGAGGTCGTGGGTTCGATTCCAACCCAGGACAAATAATTGTCTGATGAGCACGACCATTTTTTCTGTATGTGGGTGTAATTTATTTAAGAAAAATGATCACTATTAAGTATCTCAAAAGTAATTGACAACAACATTTGCACAACTTTTTCTTGTAATTACTTACATGTAATCAAGAGCAATAACATGTCCTACAAGTGTCTAATTTGCATTCAATCAATCAATCAACTTGGTACTCGACTGGTACTTTAAATAGACACAGACGGCTAATTCAAACTGTCATTGAAGGATGTTGCTGCAATATCCAGGATAGAGCAAACAGGTGGATTAATTAAATTGATATAGATTTATGGGTCAATTATTAGAACGAGTAAAAATTGACCGACTCAATACTCGGCCCGCATAAGAATCTTGGATTTGAATAGCCGGTTGATGTTTCTATTCTGGTGACTCTGGCCTTTTTGAGGTACTGCAGTCTCGGCCTCGTTACCCTCTCCTCACCAACCACGCTCTAAATACTATCGAAACTTATCTTCTCCCATGTGCCGTTAGTACACGATTACAATTCCAAGAAGGTTTAACTTAGGTAGGCTGCTAAAAAAACTAGCCAAAATAATCTTTGCAGCGTTGATCCCATATAAAATTGAAAATACAGCAAACTGATAAATATTGTGTGACCAGCACGATCAATTGTTCTGTGTTTAGGTGTAAATTATACCTATACGAGTAATATGTATGTATAACGTAAGCATTTAAATCGCCATTGTCTACCCATTTCAAATATAAAAGTCGTGAGTGTATGGATGTATGTAAGAAATGAATTTTGAACAGATTGTACATAGAATGCAAGAGAAGAGTTTAAAATATTATTAGGAAATGACAATCACTAAAATAATTGAAGATTAGAAGAAAATTTAGAAAATGTTGCTTAAAAAAATCCTGATAGATAAAGCTCGTTATGAAATTTAAAAAAAAACCTTTATAAACTTTTAATTCTAACTAACGTTTTTACATTTAAGTTAAATATAAAGAATACAGTCGTTAACATTAAGCCAAAGACCAATCCAATAAATAAGGCAAATGTAGACAAATCGCATCGAAAAATGTTGAACGATATATTGAAGCAGAGCTCTAAGAAGGAAAAGTACCTGAAAGTGGTAATTCCGTATGAAAGCCTTACAACAATGAAGTAACTACGTAAGGGCTCAAAGCAAAGAGCTGCCTAAAAGGGAGCTTAGTAAAAATGGAGAGAGGCTTGAGTTTATGTGTTGGCAATATTTTAGGTCCCGCTGTGATACCCAAAATATTGCCAACACGACTGTTGTACGACTCGTTGCAGTTTAACATTTTAATTCTTATCAGATTTTGTTCTTAACTTTTCTGTATTACTCAACGAACCTTGGGCATATAATACAATAATTTGATATCATTTTGTAACGGCATGCGATCAGACAATTAGTTAGTAAACCAAGGACTGTTGGCTAACTGCCATGTTTTTATGATAATGTTTCTGTCGTATATTACAACAATATAAGGTGGCAAGATTAATTGGCAAAGGACTACAAGATTGTAATGAATCATGTCTGGATGATATAATAATTTTTATTGCTCCTTCGTTCAGATTGTTGAGGATGCAGTTATATAAGGAGGTGGGACAACGTGCTGATGGTAAGCGGTTACGGCCACCCTCGGACACATACAACTTCAGAAAAACATTGAATTTCCGCCTTTTGAATGTCTTAGAGGAGGGGTTAATGGACTTAGTGCAATCTCACTCACTCACTCACTCACTCGATGCGTAGCAACGGAAAAAAATTCTTAACAGCTGTTTCCTGTAAGGCCGTAGTATCAATCTGGTTGAGTCTAAACTATATGCCTACCTAACATTTCGAAAATAATTTTATTTGATGTTATCGTCATAATTTACTCGCCTTTTCTTAAATATACCTCAAAGTAATATACCTCACGCATCTCACACACAGCCGTCTGACATCAAACTAGGCACAGCCTGTGCTATGGTAACCAGACTGCTAATAAACGTGCTTATATATTACTAAAACATACATATTATGGATAAATTGCACCCAGACACGGAACAAATGACCGTGCTCATCACACAATATTTGTCCTAGGTGGGAATCGAACCCACGACCTCCGGCTTAGCAGTTGGGGTCACTAACCACTAGACCAACAGGACCGTTGTTGTTCTCAATGTTAACGAAACTTCATTTACAAAAGTCAAAACACATCATTACTTTAATAATATTTTTTTAAACCTCAAACCTACCTATGAATTTTAGCTAAACATCCCCTAAATAATTTATTACTCGATAAGTTGGCGACGCTACTAAAGGAAGGAATAAATTTTCACTAATGTCGAGATTTTACTGAAGTACCAGGGGTTGTGGTTTAAATTCCTTTGCATTGTTAAGATTTTTATTTATGTTTTAACAATTGACATGATATTACGGCAGTTTATTCTATGCGTCTATTCTGTGTGGTATTATATCTCCTAATGTATGACTCGATTTGAATTCAGACTTTTCGTTCTTTTTGGAAAGTCATTCGATCAATAGTGTTCTTGTTCTTACCTACAAAATTTTAGAAAATCTATTCAATCATTTGGAAATAGCAATTAAAGTGGTCTTTCAATCAGTAGTTTATTTTACAAGTATTTTTTTTTTATGTTATAAGGGGGCAAACGAGCAGACGGGTCACCTGATGGCGAGCAACCATCGCCGCCCATGGACACCCGCAACTCAAAAGTCACAAGTTCGTTGCTGCCCTTGGAGTCCCTCCAGCTCGGGTCAGCGGGAGGGTGGATTTGGGCTCCGGTAATCTTACTCACTCAGTGAAAGGCAACGGAAGAATTGCTTAACACCGGTTTTCTGTGAGGATGTGGCATCACTCCGGTCGAGCCGGCCCATTCGTGCCGAAGCATGGCTCTCCCACGGCAAATTTATACTCTCATTCGACTAACAACTGACAAATATGTTTTTTTTTTGTGGAAGAAGAAAGTAATTGATTGGATAATATGACGGATCCTTCATACTAATAAATATAGTGAATGAACGTCAAGATTTAGTGGATGTTACTCACAACGATAACTTAATTAAAAGGGCACTGTCCTCGCGACAATTTTCGTTGGACTGTTTTTACTAATTATCTCTGGTACAGAGAAATTTTGTATTTTATGTTCTTATTTCACTCAAATGTTAATGGGATCTTATTAACGTTTATGCATTTATTTATTTTATGTCCTTGTCTAATAGTATATTTTTTCAGTATGGATAAAAATTACATTTTTTCAAATAATATTTTGATTGAAGAACGGTTTTTTAAAAAATATGACGAGTCTGTCTGTCCTGTTCTATTTCGAAAATATTAGCGAGAGAAAATGATGCAGGTCTAGTGAAATTCAAGTATGAATAAGTCTGATGCAGAATAATTGCTGTATTGAACATATTTTTGAAAAAAAAAATGGTTTGATATACATATAAAGCTGGATTCGAAATTGCTGACATATGTTTGTTTAAATTTATTTCATCATAAATTGACTACGCAAATTTAAAATACCTATATTTTTCTTTTATTATGTATTATTGTAAAATCTAAATTTTTTTTTGCATGCTTTGAGGTAGAATGTGGCTGCTCATTTTTATACCTTTACAACACCTTAATAATAATTAATTAATTATGTGATATTATTTAAAGTTAAATGAGATGAATTGGCTTGTGGTGAGTTAAATAGTTTAAAAGATAATTAAAAAACGGGTGTCAGAATCAACAAATATTATTGAACAACAAAACACAACAATTAATGATGAATAGCAACGAATGGCAAAGATTTAACTACAGGTACAGTTTCATGAACAGTAGAACTTTGGTGACTGATAGCTGAATCACCAGTCTTCAGGGTTACGAGAGGTGATGAGTGATACACCACAGGAGTGTGGACCACAGTAGCATGCGCCACTGGAGCGTGTACAACAGCAGTTCCTCCATGATTAACTACCTGACTGCTTTTGGTCACGGTAGTTTTTGAAGGAACATGGTATATTCCATGCACAGGCATAACTTCGTAAGTATTTACTGGATGGAAAACTGCAGAGCCACCATGGTTGACAACTTGGTTGGCTTTAGTTAAAGTGGTCTTTGTATGGACCAGAGGTACATGGTGGACGACAGGTGCATGGACGAAAGTACTTCCGTGGTCGATGACTTGGCTACTCTGGGTGTACGTAGACTTGGACGTCAAGGGTAACGCGTGGTAGACGTGAGGATCTTGGGCCAAGAGATATGCTGGTGCCGCGGCGGCCGCTGCCAAGATGGCGGTGAAGATGATTTGTTGAGAAAAAAAGAATATTTTGTTATTCTTTTACTTTGTATTTTAAACAGAATTTAGCTAGTTAGTCATACTGCTGATTCATTTCTAAACAGCTAGTTTATCAATTTTTGTATGCACATCTTTTATTTTATTGTTGAACGTCCATGATTATTGGATTTATGAAGATGTAAGTCTTAAAACGAAATCCCAAAACTAAAATCTAGAACTCTTTGAAGTCTCTCTCTTCTTTCTAAATTAAATATTGTGTTCACTTTAGGATTTACTTTTTAATATTTCACTATGAATAAGAAACTCACGGTACTCTGCATTCTTAAGGCTCGTGAACCGACTGATGAGTTCTGCTACCGTAACTGCCTTTTTATATCCATGTCCAATAGTTAGCGATTGCCAAATTTTGCAACAATTATGTCGTATACAGATTTTTATTTTGATCTTGTTTTGCAGATAAGGCTCTGATCACAGTGGCTACCTTGCCTTGCATTGCAAAACATATATTTAAATAAAAATAAAACACAAAGCAGTCTGATCCTATTCATATTCGAACTAATTCATAAAAACTTTATGTTAAAGCTTGGCTTTAACATAATATCAAGTAAGGTTGGAAGCCTTAACTTCTTGGTTTAAAATTTAAAACGTTATAAACTGAGACTATTTAAGCAAACCAATCATGTATATATACCACCTATTTATAAATACAATTGTCAATTGATATTTTTATGGTGTAGAGAGAAACAAGTACATAGAGCCGTCTATAGACACCCACCACTCAAGAAACATAAGTGCCTTGGTGACCTTAGAGGTGAACTTACCCCTAAAACTATGTAATTTTCGCTCAATAACATAATAATAATTTGATATAAAGTTTTAGCTTTAGTGTGTGGGCGTTTAGGGCCCAATAAGCTGGCTTGTTTAAAATAAGACTGTTTCCACTTTGAAGTTTATGAACAATGTTATCTTACCCTTTTGCCGCCTGAGTTGGCAGACTAAACAACCCTCTGTTTGCTTTTATTCTTATTGTTGAAGATCAGCTCATATAAGTTCACAATTAAAAAGCGTGATTCTTTGACGTTTAGGTTACCAGTCATGATATCTAACCAGTAGGTCGATAGTTGCCGTGGCCGATAATTAAATATTCCTTTTTAATCATACATTGTTTATTGTAAACAGTATCAATGCTTGAAGTGTCACACATGTGTTACAGATTCTATATTCTTCATCTTTCAAGTTTCGTAAAATTTACTAGTCAATATGATCGCAACCCTAAGAAAGTTTATGACTTTAGGTTCTTTTTTATAATCAAGGATAAGATGGTTAGGTCACATTTGACGAAAGATTCTTTCCGACTATTCAGATAAACTGTAAATATCAAATTGAGTTTGTTTTTGATATAATTAAAGCCTTATAGGCTTTCGTTTTTTAGGCTTTATCTGAGGTTTGGTTTATATTACTTAAAACAGATTTAAATATAATTTTCCAAGCAAATATCATGTAAAAATCCCTATGATTATTCAATTCAACTTTTAAACATATGCATAACTTAAATAGATAAAGTGATGGGTACATCTCGGGTTTTTAAGTGAGTTTAAATTGCTTTATGTTAAAAAATATAGAGAACATTGTGTTAACCTATCAATTTTAAATTTAAGTGAGACTAATGATAGTTGGAAAACAAACTTTGTGAATGATACTATTAAAGTTTTATTCTGCGTAAATGTTTATTATTCATATGAAATTATTACTGAAATATTAAGACGCAAATGTATGTACACTATGTTTTACTACAAATTAGTTTTATTGATAAATGTATGTGTTAAGTGGTATCTACTTAATACTTTTAAATATATATTAAATGACAAACTCAAATCATTACAAATTTACTGAGAATTCATTTCTTATACCATAGAACACTTGTATTGAGTCTTTTGTTACTTTTCACTGAGTAATTTAGGTTATAGAAAGCCTAAACCCTTCATCCCCCTAGTTTTGCGGGAGGTCTATCAAGCAGGTATCCGTGGGCGGCGGTAGTCACTTACCATAAGGTGACCTTACTGCTCGTTGACAGCTATTCCATAAAAAAATAATGGTTTTTCAGACTAATAAGAAGAAACTAATACTACTCTGTAATGATTACTTTATCAGCAATGTTACTCTAAGTTCTGCTTCTCCCAAAGTCATTTATTAACCCCCGACTGAAAACGAGGGGTGTTATAAGTTTAACCTGTGTATCTGTTTATCTGTCTGTCTGTGACATCATAGCTCCCTAACGGATGGACCAATTTCGATGCGGATTTTTTATGTTTGAAAGCCGATGTGATCGAGATGATGAAATTTTGAAGATCATCAGCTCACTTCCTAGGTGGTGAAGGGATCTCACTAAAATATACAGGTCAGATGGATCTGAAATTTGGTATACTGTTACGTTGCTGGTATTTCTATGGCATCAAGAAGTCTGCGGGATCGCCAACTCCTCAGAAAATTACAGCATAGATACCATGTTTGGACTAATTAGAACAGTCTCAAAGAGCAGTTGTTGTTTTTTAAATTTTGTTTTGTGTCGGGGGGTTTTTAATGATGCTATTATAAACATACCCCTTGATCGATTGAGTATTTTTTACTTTATTAGTTAATCCTGCAGCCGTGTATAATCTACAACGACTGCTTAACAGCAATCAAAATATTTATTTTAAATCACAGTTTTTCATTATTAGTGACATTTAAAAATAAGTAGATAAACAAACTTAACATGAACTTTAATGATCATGACTAAAACCAATATTTGTAACCGAGTCTCCTACAAATATCGACTGCACGGATGGCGTAGTGGTTTAAGCGGTCGCCACGCCACTTCCTACTACGCCGAGTGTTGTGGGCTCAAACCCCACATGGGACGACACTTTGTGTGATCCACAAATTGTTGTTCTGAGTCTGGGTGTTCTTTGTGTCCGTTTCATGTATCTTTGTAAAGTCCCCCGCTACACAGGATTTATTCCTAATGCGGGAGTTGTCTTTTTAAAGAAAAAAAAAAAAAAAACTAAAAATATTTCGTCGACTTGCTGTATCTCTTACTATAGCTCCCTTATCCTATTTTTTTGTCTTACCTAATTAATAATAATACTTTACCTTATTCGTTTGTTTCATCTGAAAAGGAGTCTTGGCAATAAAGAGTCAAAACCTTTTGCAATATTAAGAATTGTAGTCATCAACAGCCTTTAATAGTCCACTGCTGGACATAGGCCTAACCTTAGAAAGGAGGTTTTGGTATACTATACCACGCTGGCCAAGCGGGTTAGTATAGGGCTTGTGTCAAGTTTTCCTTCTCTCTGCAGTGCTGTTGTTCTGCGTAGTTTTCTCCCTTAGTCGGCTCTTACGACACCCACGGGATGAACAGGGGTGGTGACACTCTGTAAGAATTGTAGTGAACTCAAATAAATATTGTTCAATATGGCAGTGACCATATCCAAAAATAAATTCATAAAACTTTTCATAGCATTATATAATATATCTCACACATTTCACACACGGCCATCTGATCCCAAACTAGGCAGAGCCTGTACTATGGTAACCAGACTACTGATTATAGATAAATTACACCCAGACACAGAACAAATGACCGTGCTCATCGCACAATATTTGTCCTGGGTTGGAATCGAACCCACGACCTCCGGCTTAGCAGTCAGGGTCACTAACTACTAGACCAACAGGCCCGTCAATGAAAAACTAAGTTGGGTCGACTTATTAGGGAAGTATAAAATCTAATCTAAACAAAATCCTGGTCGGTGGCTAAACAAAATCCTGGAATAAATCTCATCGTCTTAGTGCAATGGCGGCGTCATTTTCTTTTGTAAATATTAATGATGTAGCAGGAATATGGGAGTGAATGAAAAAATATTCTTGCAGTGTGATTATTTTTTTAATATTAAATAACAAATTGTAACAATCAGTGATGGTATCTGACGAACGATAATGATTTAACAACAGGTACAGTTTCATGAACAGTAGAACTTTGGTGACTGACAGCTGAATCACCAGTCTTCAGGGTTACGAGAGGCGATGAGTGATATACCACAGGCATGTGGACTACTGGAGTGTGGACTACGGGAGTGTAGACAGTATTCACTGGATGCAATACTGCAGAACCACCATGGTTGACAACTTGATTGGCTTTCGTAATGGTGGTCTTTGCGTGGGCCAAGGGAACGACAGGAGAGTGGACAACAGGTGCATGGATGAAAGTGCTTCCGTGGTCGATAACTTGGCTACTCTGGGTGTAGGTCGACTTTGAAGTCAAGGGTACTGCGTGGTAGACGTGAGGTTCTTCAGTCAGAAAATACGCTGGAGCCGCGGCTGCCGTTGCCAGGATGGCGATGAAGATGAGCTGTAGAAATTTAAAAAGAATTTATTATGAATGACTTTATTATTAAAATACATTACAGGCCTGTTTTATTCGAGTAACTGAGCCTGACCTGTACAAGCTTTTGTTCGCATTGTCCAATTAATTTGTATGAGTAATATTCATATCCTACCACTGCTTTCTTGTTGCCCTCTCGTACTTTTCTTTTTTAATACTCTCCTAATTAATCCATTTAAACTTTTAAAGTGCTCGGTTGACGGTATTGGGCAATCTTCTCTTATGTAAACGGGACTAAAATTACAACCTTACAGCCCTTAAAACCTCGATATTTCTCAATTTTGATCAAACCTCCAGAATAAAACTTACAATGTTTTGCATGATTGAAGACTGGCAGTCAACTGATGAGTACAACCACTGAGAGTACCCTTTTATACATAAATTTTAAAGTTATTGATTGCCTCATATTGCGACAATTATATCACATGTGCAATTTTATTTTTGTAAGTCTTGTTTTCTTGGGTAAGGCCATGTTCGCACTGGTTACCTAATGAAGTATGACGATTTCAACTATCAATGGTAAAAGATACTGTATATAATGTAGGCAAAAGCTTACAAACCTTGTTATTGCCTAATTGTAGGGTGTGTTCATTTGTCATTTGTTGATTGACGAAATAATTGGTTTGCCTATGATTTTTGATCTTATCTCTTACAGCTCACTGAGTTTGATGAAATGAAATAAGATCTTTGGTTACGAGAGATTTAGATTACATTCAAATTGATCAACTTAGATCAAAGTAAGTACACATATCTTCTGGCGATAACTACATATTTAAATTTCTAATTTAAAAAGAAAAATCTGAAATTGAATATTATTATAACGAGTAGTAGATTAATAGCAGACTTGATATAATAAAATATATGAAACAAAATAATAGTCATAAATTTCGTCCGATTTATTCGCTGATCATCGGGAACAGTATATGATATGGGTGTTAGTTATCAAATTAAACAAGCCAGCTACTCTTCCAAGCCTGAATTTAGCAATCAACCCTTTAAAAATGGTACGGTAAAAATAACACGATAATTTGAATAAAATTTTATAAAGACAAGAAGAAATACGTTTTTAAAAACCCAAGTAAAAATTCATTTACCAGGAAAGAATACTAAGTGGGTAGATTTTCCAGGTAAATAATTCTTCAATATTATCTCCCAACAACAATCTATTATTGGACACATAAAAAGCAATTTTCTCTAACATTAAAAATATCTTTCTTGTGTTATAAATTATTCTTTTAATTCTTCAAATCACTTTAATTTTGTTTTTAATATTAAGATAGGTCAGCACTGATTTATCGTTGTGACAAATCAAACGTATTGCAAAGAAATAGGGTCATTAATCGTATGTGATTCAATGAGGCTCTTTCTAGGGCTCTTTCTCATTTTTTTTATTTTTTTTTATTATTTAAAAAGACAACTCCCGCATTAGGAATAAATCCTGTGTCGCAGGGGACTTTACAAACATACATGAAACGGACACAAAAAACACCCAGACTCAGAACAACAATTTGTGGATCACACAAAGTGTCGTCCCATGTGGGGTTTGAACCCACAACACTCGGCGCAGTAGGAAGCGGCGTGACGACCGCTTAAACCACTACGCCATCCATGCAGTCGATCAGTGCAGTCCGTCATTACTTTTTATATAAAGTTAATAATAATATAATATATTGTCTTTGGTCGTCCCACCGATATACTCGCTGGATTTTGATCTACATTTCATAACTTCTTGATTAATTAAATTCAAACAAAATCCAATCTTAAGTTTAAAAATAAACTTGCAGAATATCTGTTGTACCATTACCAAATAAGATTAAACAATCTGCCGACAAACGTATAACAATACTATTATATTCATGCAACTTACTTGATACCCATCAAAAACAAAAATATCGGGAATACAAATCATCGCAATGAATAAGCAATTGTATTTCAAATATTTAAGGCCTCATTTAAGAACAATTCTGAGGTCACTTTAGTCGTTTTCGAAACTATCAGCCTTTGAGCTTATGGTGTAGATCTTATCGAAGCATTTCTTAATTCAAAGCTTTTAATTTATTGTGGTGTAAGTAGTCGCTTTGTTTACTGTTTATTGTACCGCGGCTGTGAACTTTGGGTTTATTTGTGCAATAAAGAGTTATTATTTTATTCATATATAAGTTGTAAAGTTTGCTTAACTTTAAGTTATTGATGTCGTCATCGATTTTTGCGAAGGATTATTTTTATATTACCAGCTGCTCTGCGCAACTTCGTCTGTCAAAAGGAATAAATTTTTACAAAAAGTTTTTGCAAAAAAAAAACAAAAACGCCCTTTGATAACTGACACTAAAATAATATTTCAATTACAACGAATAGTTCCTGAGATAGGCGAAATAAATAAACTTTTCAGATTTATACCTACTTAATATTAGTATTGATTTCTAGTACTTGATATAACTGAATTTATAACAGGTAACTTTACCTCCTCCAACAGAAAACTGACAAAATGCATAAACCTTCCTAATCAATTATATATTGCTGAAAGCTTAACCTCCTTTCTAAGGAGAGGCCTATGTCCAGCAGTGTACTATTAAAAGCTGTTGATGATTGATGATGATGATGAAAGCTTAACTAGAAACATATTGTATATTAGATAAAAGTTAACGAAATAAAAATGAATGAATGTTTAAGTCCTTGTTAAGCGTCATAAGCGTTACGAACAATGCTAGTAGCTTGCCTTGTTCCCTTTGTCGATGATATCATTCTTATGGTAGTACACACCTCATTGATTCCATGCACACTGTAGCTTCATGATCATATAAAATAAAGTACTTAGCTCTCAAGAGCTCCACAAAGTTTAAGAGATTATATTGTTTTCAGAATAGATAAACCAGACGCAACTTATTTTAATCAATCAAACAATCCCGCTAAACACTTTATTTAAAACAGTGTGGTGACTTACCCATTCAATAATAAAAACATATATCAACGCCATCTAACGGAGACACACTAAACTGCGGAGTAACTATTAATTTTGTATCGCGCAATCAAGTTTCTCACGAAGAATAGTACTATAGATAAACTATTTCAAGATATCAATTATTGGGCAGCAGTCCGCCAGGCATGATCACATCGTGTTGTCAGAGGATTCTGAGTTTGTGTTGGAGAGACGTAATGCCCGTTTCACCATACAAAGAAACCTTAAATACCCGTCACTAACGTAGTCAGACTAAATGTAGGTAGAACACTACACATTTTTGAATTTTCTTCAACAAAGACTTATAAAGATTACTTAACTTCAGTAACTTGTATAATAGTATCTATGACACACGATATAAAACTTATTATCAATAAACGGGGCTATTGACGTTCACAGCTCATTCATCGAGATTTTATTACCATATAATTAATTCGATAGCCGCTCGTGCGATATCATTAAACAATTCTTAAGATTGCTGATAATAACATAAATTTTTCGATTACCCTTAAAAAATTATAAGTGATTTTGAAAGTGTGACGTTGATAAATGTTTTGTACGTAAGTTCTTTAAAAGTTGAGATAATTTAAATTAATACTTACTTTAAATTAATGGATACATTTTTTACTGTCCTTATTGTTCCTAATATATTAAACGCATATACGTGTTGACTTGTTAACCCTCCTTAGGTACAGAGACGGTGGGACCAAAAGACCAATTCTCGTAATAAAATGTTCGGTTTCGCAGTAAAATAGTAAAGTATGAGTAAGACTAACAGATTACCGTTTCAATTTTCGCTTACAATACGATGTAATCAAATTACAGTCAACGTTGGATGTTTAATATTTTACTACGAAAATACCTTTTATGAAAGTTGTGAGATCGAAAGTTGATCGGAACTGAATTGTGACCGAACTTTTATTACGAGAATTGGCCTCCAGGTCTTTTAGATAGCGCAGAACGACCGACAGGTGGTATCCGAGGGGATTTCCGCACGATAATTCACTAATAGCAGGCTCTTCTCTTGCCTGATATATATATATATATATATATAAGTTGTACCTGTACCGTTGGGTATTATATATATATATATATATATATATATATATAAATGTGTATATGTATGGACACCATTAATAGCGAACTCATTACCGCCAATTAAAATGTTTTTCACGCATTCATTCATGCAAAAATATAGTTATTTATTAACAAGTGACAAACTAGCCAAAGCAATTTATACTTTCACCACATAACTTTAAGAACTAATTTCAATCTTATTGTCACTCAAGTAAGAGCTTAACAATTTAGTAAATTTGATATCGATACTCTATAATTATGTAATTAAAATATATTGATGTCAATGTCGCCATGACATCTATATATGTAACGGTGTCAATTGAGTCTGATCGAACAATCCAAAAAATAGTCCTCCACAACAAGAAATTATGGAAAATTAACAGTTTACACATAATTATATTAATTTATTTGCGTAATAAAATATAAAACCATTACCGGTACTTTCATACTAAGGTGAAATATTAATTGCGTAAACTGTAAACTGTCAATACGTCAAAAGTGAATGCTTTTGATTGCTTACTGCTTCTAAAATCAGTTTTTAATAAGATTAAATCTTGGCAAGTCTTAAATTCGACAGTATTAAACACATCTTACTGTGTAAAAATCTCTGTAAAAAGGAATGATTCTTTGACATTTGTTGGTATAATAACGTAAAAACTCCAACAGTAAACAGTAGCCTAATAAAATGACACCTACGGCATTCTTGTTCTTGCGTATTGCAGTGCAACGTAGTAAAAATAAAGATTGTTATTACTAATATTACACACAGGCCTGATCTACCGTGCCAATTCAAAACACTATAACTTTTGACTTTGAAAGCTTGGATACAGTTTTTTACCATGTTAAAATCCTAATTTCAATACAATATAGTATTTTTGAGATTGTTATCTCTTCTAAAGTATACTTTAGAATAACAAAAGTGTTAATTAGGGGTACTAAACCAACGTAAAGAAACTGATTAAGCGCTGTTACGGTAAAACACTAAGTCTAGTTACAGTCTTTTGGATTGGCACGGCAGTGTTGTTTGGTTCCAAAGAGATTATTGCAGTGCCGACACGATACAAAGAAATAATGTGTGTACAATCATATTAAATGTATGAAACCGAAATGTGATAATCAATAGTCCAATGGTGGACAAAGGCCTTAGAAAAGAGGTTTTTGCCTTTTAATAACGTCGTCCGCAGGTATAATTTATTCTGAAATATATTTTCTTCGATTCGATTTAATCGATTCTTTTATTGATAGATTGTTCGCTATCGTAGTCATTAATAGATATATAATGGGTGTG